TAATTGCAGTTAAAACTTAACACATTGTATTTACGTATATATATACAATTTCTTTTCTAAAATGTATGAATATATTGTATTACTCAGGTGATTAAATGTGTGATGATCAATAATCCATTCGCGCCTGGGTTCGAATCCCACCTCCATCCCCTTAAAACGTTTTAATTTTTTTAATTGTTTAATTTTTTTGGACTTCGTCTTCTTTGTAAGTATATGTGCAGACTAACCATCTCCTTTTCAATCCTCGATTTTTATCAGTTTCTGAATCTTAATCCATTGTCTGTTTGATTAGCCCCGCTGTAATTTGAGAAGTTCATGGAAAAAGTTTGGATTTTTTCGAGAAATATAGTGTTTAGGGTTTTGGAATCATACTAGAGTAAAAAGAAATTTATGGGTTTAAAGAGTTTAGGAATCTTATATCACTTGTTTGATTTGATTTTATTATATATGTGTGACTGTGGGTTTTGAATGTTGTTTGATTAGACCCAATTGTGAAATTTTTGATGGAGCAAATGGAGAAATCTGCTCCATATTTTGCTTCAAACTCTATATTTGGAGCAAAATCACTTCAATTGTGTTCTATATTTTGCTCAAAAAATAGAGATATTAATAGTGGAGCAACATTATTCATATCTCTATTCTTAGAGCACAACTTTTTATTTACAAAGTACTCCCTCAATTTTAATGTAATATCATATTATACCTAAACAAAGTTATATACATACATAATTTTATATTAAAAATCATAGTTCCTAAATTAATTGAAATTTAAAATATATCAATAACATATATTAAATTAGAAAATAATACCATCACAAATGATAAACTAAAATTACAAAAAACGATTAAACTTGTCGTTAAAAAAAACTTAACATACCATAAACAAGTGCTTTAATAATCCGATAGTTCGCTTCCGGATCCACTAATGATGATGCTTAAAAAAATATATATTAAGCATTCGATCTTCTATTTATGTATTGTAATAAAATATAATTTTTAATAATATGGTTATATTAGATATTTGCTTAAAAATAAACTAAGTGGATAGAATTCGTAAACTTTAAAAATAAAGGACTATGTGAAGAATTAAAACAAAATATTAAAATATAATATTTATTTTGGAGCAAAAAATAGAGCCAACTATTGGAGCAAACTTCTGCTCTATTTTAGAGCACTCCAAATTTAGAGAAAGAAATAGAGCTAACGATTGGAGATGGTCACGGCGGTAGATTCTTCACAAAGAAGACGAAGTCCAAAAAGGAAAAAAAATTAATATCGTTTTAAAGGGAAGGAGGTGGGATTCGAATACAGGCGCGAGTGGATTATTCATCACACATTTAATCACTTGACAAAAAATATGTATTCGAATAGCTTATAAAAGCAATTGTATATATATACATAAACACAATTGGTTAAGTTTTAACTGCAGCTAACGATTCCGTTAACGCGAAGGTACGAATCTCCTAAAAAAATTAAAAGACAATAAAAATTAAACAAAGTATTTTTATTTCAATTTTAAAATTACACGTATTAACGGTCAAATAAAAAATAGATGACGACTATTTTTTCGGATTTTTTCCCATTTAAACACCTAAAGAAGTGAATATAGTAATATACATGTAAGAATTTATCTTTTATGATAAAAAAAATAAAAGTACTCTTTATGTTCCTCATAGTTTGATGTTTTGGTTTTTTATCTTGTTCCACAAAGATTTATGTTTTGTAGAAATACCATTATTACTTTTATTTGAAACCAATAAAAACAAAAGAGAAACATTATTAAAATAATAATAAAATATATATTTTACTTTTTCTTAAATTGTATGAAAATTCAAAACATCATTCTTTAAAAAAACAAAATGATTAATATACATGTACGGAAAATTAAAACAAAGGAGCGAAAAATAGATTTAACCTAAAAGAGGAAGTAAAGAGGTTATAAGAGGTAAGAAAAGTAGGACCATATAATTTATCATTTGGAGATATTCAAATTTTTGTGGGGGTCCCATTGAGGACTAAAGTGTGGAGCACGATTTATCTTTGATGTTAATAAAATAATAAATATATTATTATTGTCTCGGGATTTTTGAAAAAGTAAGAGGTGCGTTTTCGAATTATCATTGGCTAACGTTTGTACGTGAATGTACGGACGATGTTGATGTATTTCTAATATTGTACGCTCTTTTTTTCCACCCTTATTTCTCTAATTCTTGTCCGTTAACCCAAAACTAATTGTTGTTTAATCATTCAGAAATTTGATTTAATTAAAAGACTTTATAAATTATGATTTGCATGAAATTACTATGACTGGTAAGCTCATGAAAACTCCATATATATTACTATTTTGGAAGTTAATTACTAACTATACATATTTTTTTTAGGTTCATTTGAAAACTACCTTGTTTTTGAGTTATAGTTTGAAAAATACCCTTTCCAATTTTAATGAAAATTCCCATCTTTTATATATAAAATGACAATTTTGTATTAATTTAAATGCTATATTTTTAGTTAATCAAAACTAAATACAAAATTTAGAGAAAAAAATAAACCAAATTCGAATAATATTAGTTATAGTTACAAATATTTTACACAAAGATGATTTATTCATTTATATATTAAAAATTAACAAGATAGTATCTAAAAATATTATTAATTAGTCTATCGCTTAATATTTTTCATGTTAAATAGAGTAAATACCCCAATCACATTTTTTAACTCAACAAATCACCAAAAAAATTTAAAATTCAATGATTCTTTATTTTTGCAAAGTAAATGTGTTTTCAATAATAATGAATCATCAAAATTTGCAACATAACTATAAGTTATGACTTAACAAAAATCATGACTTAACATCGGTAGAACGCTGCTAATCATTATTGTTTTATAAAAATATTTAGGATAATAAAATTTTGGAATTGTTAGTTATATAAAAACTTTATAAAAATTAATTATTTATATATTATCAATAAATTTTTTTGATATTTAATATATAGTTTTTTTTATTAATTTTATTAAGTTTAAGTATTTTTATTTTAGTAATTTTACATATTTAAAAATAGGTTTTAAAAGAAAAATAAGAAAAATGTATTTTTCAAAGGTATAAACAAAAAGAGGGTATTTTTCCAAATTTACTCTTTTTTTTAAAGCAAATGCACTTCATTCCTAAACATGTTTTTTTTTTTTTTTTGTGAACTCATTCCTAAACATGTTATACAAGGTTTTTATAATGTAATGGCAACAAAGAAACTTGATACCAAATTTTAGCAATGTTTCAATTTTTTTTCTAGACTAGAACTTTACACATCTCAGAATTAAAATATTGTTTGTAATCTAGGATCTCGAAGCGAAAATTAGATTAATTTATATGCTATGTAAAAAATCGAATTTTTACTACCACTTAAAATAATTTTAGTGGTCAATCATATCTGAAATTAATCGCAGTTAACAAATCCTGAAGCATAAAGGCCGATTGGTAACGACTGTTAATTTTCGTTGTAGAGATTTTGACTTAAAAACTTTCGCTGTAGAAACTTTTGTTGTAAAGACTTTGACTATATAAATTTTATAACCGATTGGTAAAAACTATGACTGTAGAAATTACGATTTTAAATAACCATCAAATATGTGAGAAAATAGATCTTAAAAAAAACAAGAAAAATATTTAATTGTAAATCTACTGAAATTTATCAAAAATTAATTTATTTGTAAGAGTTATAAGGATTTACATACATATAAGAAAAAGAAAAAGAATACTTTTAATTTATTTATTTCTAAAAGTCCTACTTACGTTACTTTAAAAAAAAACTGAAAGCAAAGTGTAAAAAATAAAAAATAAAAAATAAAAACTTTGAAAACTTTAAAATTTATTAAAGCCAAAAAAGCATGATTGGGAAAAAAAAAATTAAAACATTTAAAAACTTCTTAAAATCTTAAAAATCTCGTCCAATAACCTCCATATTCTGGTTCTATCTTACATTCTATGTGACATATTACTAACACAATTCTTTTAAATTATAGGACGAATCCTTTAAGTTAATGGGATAGTTGGTCAGTTACGTTATATACTTTTGTTTTGTATTTGTCTCGACCAGTTAAGAAATGTTCATAATTAATAGTAATGAAAGTGTTTTACTTTTATGTTTACATACTAAACCAAACTTTAAACCGTGTTACACATGGGTGTTTATACAAACACAAAAATATAAAGATAAGAGACAATTCACTCAAAAATTATCCATCAGATTTTCGTACCTATCTGTGATATTTAATATATATAAATACGTTAACATATTTCCCCAGAGAAGATGTGTATTTTTTCGAAATAAGTAGTTTGTGTGGTCCTCCCTATCTAGATAAAGATCATTAGACTTCGATTAACAAATTTATCTCCAAAAAGGGATATTTTCTGGTGCCACTAGCTAGACAAGACGTTCGATAAGCTAAATTATTATTGGATTTCTAAGTTACGTTTTCTTTAGTTAGAAAAATATAATCCGAGGGACCAAAATTTAGGTAAATGAGGAAATTTACGTGTTCTAATGTGGTTTTGTTGATAAACTACCATTGCTACTTGCTACTGATATTAATCATTCACGTAGAGATGTAAGGTGATGTCGTATAACTACGAACACAATTTAAACAACAATAACAAAACAATGGAAAAACATGCATATAAAATATACAAATTAAATGAATTTATCTGTTAAAATGAAAGATATAAAACACTAATAAAACCAATTTAGTTGTATTACTCACAGGTAAAAAAACAGGATATTCTTATTTTCATATCAATTACAAGTGGGGGCATATAGGTAGGAGAGTATTTGTGTCCACATTAAAAACAAAAAGATATTTCTTATAACAAATATGATAATGTATTAAATAATTTGACAGCCATTTCCATCCAACTAGATATTTATGGAGGGAAAAAGATGTGTATGTAAAAATTGCCATATATATCAATATATGCTATTTTTGGTCTTTCTTAAGGCTTTTTTCCAAAATAAGTAAAGGATGAGGTTTCAAGCGACCATCATATTTGCGACACATATGACTGACTATTTAGCTCCTCCATTTTTCTTTATATTATTTTATTATCTTTAATTCTTTCTCCAAGAAATAAAAACGAAAATTTTGTTTCACAACACCATTACCATAACTACAACGAGAAGAGGATCTTTTTAAGGAGAAAAGCAGAGAGAGAGAAGAGAGTGTGTCAAGTTTTTTTTTGTCTCTTGTTTCTTTTATTACACACAAATAGATGAAACGAGGAAAGCTAATTCTTTTGCTACTTCCATAAAAAGGTTCTTCCTTTCGCAGAGAATCAAGTTTGATCATCTTCTTTCTTCTTTCTTCTTTCTTCTTCTTTTTTTTCTCATCTCCCTCCATTAAGGCTTATATAGTCTTCTATATCTCTACCTATACATACACAATCTTGTACCTCTTCTGGTAATATATCCTCGCAAGCTTCCTGGTTAGGTTTTTGTCAAACCCTTTTCGCCAATCGGTAAGATCTCTTCGACATGATCTTTCCTTTTTCTTTTGCTTTGTACTCTGATGGATCTCAAACCTTAGATGGGCTTGGTTTCATTTTGTTCGATTTGATGTTTTTGGTTTCTTTATCCTAAATCTCATGGAACGAGGTTGCATCCTTCAATTAAACCGAAAACAAAAGTTTCCATTACAGACTTATAGATCAGCTACTTTAGATTGTTTTGCTTTTTGGGTACTTAAATATTCTTTCGTTGACTTCATCAGTCTCCTCCCACCCAAAAAAAAAAAAAAAAAAGAGTCTTATTTCGATCATATCTCCATTTTTTTTAACCTACTCTCTTTGATTCATATATGAAATGGGTTTGTTTTATGTGTGTTACTAATCTTGACCTTGTTATTGAGGTGGTTGCACCATTGATCTCCCGTTTTCAGCAATTAAAGAAAAATAATTTACTTTTTTTTTTTTTTTTTTTTTTTCTGTGAAAGGGAAATTAATTAAACAAGAAGATGGTGAGGGGCAAAACTCAGATGAAGAGAATAGAGAATGCAACAAGCAGACAAGTGACTTTCTCTAAACGAAGGAATGGTCTGTTGAAGAAAGCCTTTGAGCTCTCAGTGCTTTGTGATGCTGAAGTTTCTCTTATCATCTTCTCTCCCAAAGGCAAACTTTATGAATTCGCCAGCTCCAAGTATGTTTCCTTCTTTTGTTTCTTCTTATAAATCATCCAGAGAAAGAGAGAGATATCTCTCATTAGCCTCTCTTTTTTTATCTTAATTTTTATATCTCTTGGTTTATATATGGATTAATTGATTGGCTTTTTGTGGAATCACATCTCTTTGACGGTTGCTTTGAGAGGTGGGTTAAATTAATGAGTTTCTTGGTTTCTGCAAAATTAGGGCTATTATTAAAGTAGTATCAAGTACATATACTCTTATTTGTTTTTTTTCCCGCTAGTACATCAGCTTGGTTAATCATCTGTCTCTCTCTTTCTCAATTAGTTTCTGAAGTTATGATATAAATAAAATGTGCTCTCTGGTAAGCAAATTTACATTTGTTAGATATTTGATCTTCTTAGAGCTTCAGCAGTGGCACAAGCAGGTGGGTGTGAGTCTTGGGGTGTAGGTATTAAAAAAACGAAAAAATTGTCTCTCTCTTCACACCCACCATTGGAGTGATTTTGCTCTAAATATAGAGTTTAGAGCAAGATATAGAGCATCATTGGAGATGCCCTGATATTATAATACTAAAAAAATACTTACACCCACACAAACACATTTACCACTGCTGATGGTCTTAGATCTTATTAGAGATCATGATCACACATATGTACAACTTAATTTAATTGTTTCAATTAGTATTCTTTTGGTTTGAGATGACACACGATCTGGTTGAATTAGCTTGTCTTGTTATTGGTTTAAGCAAAACATGTTTGTGATGGCTATGAAGTTGTTTCATCATTCCTGATTTATTAATCACTCGTGCTTCATTTTATGATCATTCCTGATTTATTAATCTCTCGTGCTTCATTTTATGATCATTCCTAATTTAGTGCAATTTGTTTGAATATTTGTTCCTGATTTTGACATAGAAACTCAATGTTGATTGTTTTTGAGAATAATAAAGAGTTTTATCTTGTAGACTTGTACTGTTAGGTAGAAGGGAAACCAAACTTATTTTTCATGAATCATTACTTCTGTAAATGGAAAAAGCCAGCTTTTGATCAGATGTTTCAGACATTTGGTCCATTTGAGAAAGTACATCTTTCTCTCGAACCTACTAATTAATATAAAGATAAGACCTCACATGTTTTTGATTTCTAAAATGGGAAGAAAAGAAAAAAAAAAGTACAAGATACTTTTCAAGTTATGTCCTTAAGTAAGTGATCTTGTGATTACTTCAATAAGAAATGTTTTTGATGTTTTGAGAACACAATTAGGTAAATTTAATCTCTGATGATTTAGTTTCATATTCCAATGTTTTTGACAGTATGCAAGATACCATAGATCGTTATCTGAGGCATACTAAGGATCGAGTCAGCACCAAACCGGTTTCTGAAGAAAATATGCAGGTTGATTCTTTATGATCTTGCCTATTAATACTTAATATAATACTATCAAAGAGGGTTACGGAATAACCACGATATGTACACAATCTCAAGGTCACAGGATCAAGTTACATATTTATTAGGGATATTTACGTACATGCAATAACATTTTTGTGAGGGATATTTACGTACATGCAATAACATTTTTGTGATATAACCAACAGCATTTGAAATATGAAGCAGCAAACATGATGAAGAAAATTGAGCAACTCGAAGCTGCTAAACGGTTTGTGATATATACATATAAACACATTATACTCGCTTGTGTATATATATCACGGATTAAGGTTTGATCCTAAAGTGTTTTGTTTTTGTTATCAGTAAACTCTTGGGAGAAGGCATAGGAACATGCTCAATCGAGGAGCTGCAACAGATTGAGCATCAGCTTGAGAAAAGTGTCAAATGTATTCGAGCAAGAAAGGTATATATTTATCTACATCCCCACATTATAATTATTCTTCGAATCATCTTCTAAAACCACTCATAATTTCTAACTCAATTTCTCATCTCTATTAGACTCAAGTGTTTAAGGAACAAATTGAGCAGCTCAAGCAAAAGGTAAAGTAGGTTCTATGAGTGTGTATATATATATGTATGTATGTAAATTGTGGAAAATTCCAAGTAAATAATCCTCTTGTGCTTGCTCTTACAATTGGAATCTAAAACTTTTGCAGGAGAAAGCTCTAGCTGCAGAAAACGAGAAGCTCTCTGAAAAGGTATAATATATTCTTATGGGTCTCAAGTTATTCTTTTTTTCTATTCGGTTAAGATAAGAAAGTTGGGTTCTTTTTGGGGGTTATTAGGTTATGAGACTCCTTACTAGTTTTTCCTGGTTAGCTTCAATCATCATGACCTTTTATGTATTGTTCTATCTTCTTTGCATCTATTAATTTTGTGTAATGATTATATTTGAATGCAGTGGGGATCTCATGAAATCGTGATTTGGTCGAGTAAGAATCAAGAAAGTACTGGAAGAGGTGATGAAGAGAGTAGCCCAAGTTCTGAAGTAGAGACGCAATTGTTCATTGGGCTACCTTGTTCTTCAAGAAAGTGATTCACTCAACAAATAAAAACTGGTTTAGCAGTACTGAGAGTGTATAAGGACAAGTAACAAAACTCTAAAGCTGCTTCTCTTGTTGTCTTATTTCTCTTTCACTCTCTCTCAGTCATTTCTTTAATGATAAATGTTCTCTGCCAAAACTGAACTGCTTGTGTTATGTATCTATGTTCTTACACTCGCCTCTACAGAATGTAATTTTTGATTATGTTTAGTTTTTATGTATCAATTTAGCCTCCTTCCCTCAAAATCAGCAATATCTATAATATAACTTATTGGTTGATCAAGTCGAGGCTAGAACATCCAAAACTGGTAAACAAATAAAAATTAACAAAATGAAATAGAACTAGTAAAAATTCACTACGAGAAAAGTACAGTTTTAGCTTCTGTTTCTATGATGGTGTGAGATTCTAATTAAGGTTGGTGACTTTTAGATAATAAAGCTCGTTTTAAGTTCGTTTATAAAGTCTGTAAGCAGATTCACCAGAAGTGATGAGCAATTAACTAAAGCTCGTTTTAAGTTCAGCCACTACATATGGTACATACAGAGTAAAACACTCAATTTTTTGGTTACGAGCCTTCGTAACAAGCTCTCACTAAGTCCCATAGTCTGAGTAAAACACTCAATTTTTTTGTTATAAAACTCTATATAACAAGCTCTCACTAAGTCCCATAGTCTGATGATGCAAATACTAGACAATTAAACTTTTTTTTTTGGCAGCATCTAATTGGTCAAATCAATTACTGCATAATTTCAGATGAAGAGCTGAAACACTACAACGGTTTTGCTAGAGTGTCAGAACTCATTGCCCCATTATTTTGTAATCGAAATACTCATCCTGAGCGGCTAGTGGCAACTTAACAATACAAAGAGCGGTTAAAAAAAAAAAAAAAACGGTTTTAAAGTATTTCCAAAACATATAAGTAGTCTAGTGACGGTTTTTTTTATCTAACTTGTAGTAGTCTAGTGACGGTTTTGGAAAAATGTTGCGCCCCCTATTCAAGATCGCTGGGAGACGAGATTTGTGTGCATCTTTTAATTTTTGGGACTGATGAGATTAGGGCACAAATCCAAAAAAAATTAGATGTTTTAGGCCATACAAAAAAAAAAATCTTTTATATTATAAAGCATAAGTTACCTGGCCAGTAGTCATCTTTTATCTAACTCTGATAAATTTATTTTTCTGACTTTCCTCTCCATTTAATCTTTCTCGCAATTCTTCTCCATCATTGTTTCTTCCTCTCCATCGTTTTATGGTTGCCAAGAAACCTATGATTCCAATTCTCTTCAGGTAAATGCTTAAACTGTGTTCTTATTCATTCATGTTCATTAAGTAGCTGGAAACCTATTGATCAAACTACTACAACTTCTGAGGTATTAGTGTTTATATTCAACTCTATTTTATATAAGGAGGGAGTACACATCTGATTTTTATGATCCACACCATTAGGAAAGTACTTGCGTCACTTTTGCAAGAAATTGGAGTTTCCAAAGGAAATTCTATGGTACTATGTTGGATGCACACAATGTTTCACGAGAGCCATATCCTATTTTAACCCAGAAACCGAGGAATATGAGCTTAACAAGTATTCATGCGACACTGCAACAAGCAATAAACATCCAAAAGTATAAGGTAACGTTTGCCTTAATCCTTTAATAAAGCATGAGACTTTCATATCACAAGGACTTAAGAAATATGGTTTTTTGCTTGCTCATCAGGTACAAAGTACATGTTAAAGTAATTGATCATATTGCTGCAACCGCTTCGTTCCTTTTGTTTGATAGGGAAGTTATGCAACTGATTCATAAAGCTGCCTATGAATTGCTTGAGCAGCAAGTACAGGTGTGTTTTGCATTCTTAATATATCGGCAATCAAGTTTCAAAGTTGTAAAACTCATAGAAAAACCTAAAACTATCCAACAATTTTTCTAAGGAGGGTACACATTCTGAAGTTTCTATAGTTTCAATCACGTCAAACGCTATTCAAATTATATATTCCTACATATTTTCTATAGTTTCAATCACGACAAGTTAGCGCACATTTGCAGATGGAAATACGTCTACGGAAACAAATAACAGTGAATTGTCTCTTTGTTCTTCTGTTACTCCAAGCACAAAATGAAAAATAACGATGTGATAGAGATAGATGAAGGAGTTCAAGAATCATTAACAAAGCAAAAAACATCGTCAAAGGTGGTTCCAAAGAGCCGGAAAAAGTGATACTTGATGTCACTTAGCTGTTCATTTTCATGAATCTAAGCATATTTATTACATATTTATTACTTGATGTCTTCTTTTTTCTTTACTTATCACATATTTATTACTTTATTGATTGAGCTAATTTTAAACCTAAGTTTATAGTTTTTGATGGCCATACAATCAAACTAGATTTAATTTTTACAAAATTTAAAATTTTAATAATAACAAATGGTGTCCGTACTTGCACGGGTGGTAATACTAGTTATTTCTATACTCCAAATCGTTTAGACTCTTTAGATAATAGAGAAAGATAAACATGTTGTGATATGATGGCATGTGCAGTAAACGTTTATATGGGCCCATAAATTATCTAGTAATGGCCCACTTGTAAAAAGGCTTACTTTGCGATATGGGCATACACAACGGCGAACCCTTTGGTCGAGTGTATGTATTAAAAAACTCAAAACAAAGTGAAAAAAAGTTGAGACTCGAGTGTAGCAGTACACCCGGGTATGAAGTATTAAAAAAAAAAGAAAAAAAATTTCTGTCTTTACCTCTCTTTCTCTTTTAACTTTTACATTATTTTTACCTTTTCTTTAATTACATACACCCGCTGATCGAGTGCTGCAATATGTATGGTCTAACAGCCCATAAAACGGTAGTAAATAGATAGAGGATATTATTAGAAACTTAATCCTAGTAGGTAAAAAACAAAAATAAATATGAAAACTTTTTGGAAAAGTCAACAGACAAGAGTAAAGTTTGCCAAAGAAGGAGGACTCTTCCAAAAGTCAAATCAAGAAACAGCAATGTGGGTCCTACCTGGCTACATCATCATTGCGCTTTTTCCAAAATCAACTACGTGGCATCAGTGCCGGTCCGATAAATTTGGCTATCCTAAGCAAAATTAAAGCCCATAAAAAAAATTTCTTTTAAATTAGATTTTTACCATTAAAAAGAATGTTGTAGTTGTCTCTAAACACCCATAATATTTTTAAAAAGCCCTACAAAAATTATTGTATATAAGAAAACTTAATAAATTTTTAAGTAAAAAGACTCTTACATTTTGAGGCCCAAATCGGTGGTTTCAGTGGCTTGTCCTCTGCGTCGGCCCTGCGTGGCATTTTCTTATTCGTTCGTTTTTTAGTTACAGGTTGATTTCATTTATTCACCCAATTGTTTCGGAAGTTCATTACTTACGTAGTTGAGCTGAATCCTTGATTATTCGTCACCCATTTGATTCAACGTCGCACGATTTATTTATTATTCGGCCATACTACTATTCAGCAATTCATATAACGTAATGTCTGAGATTTAATAGTATTAATGCCAAACAAATCTTTTCATTTAATTAATTGTAGAATAATTATACATATAAGTATATAAATGCCGTAAGTTATTAAAGTTTATTTCATTTGGAAAATGTTAGTAAACTCAAAACAAATGTTTTATAGATCAAGTAAGAGTAAGAGGATAAATGTCTAAAGAGCACATACATGCGAATATAGATTCATACGAACTGGAAATTAAATGACAAACATCTAGTACAAAAGTTTTTGTTTATAGAAAAAAAATATAGAAATGTAAATTGGGAAAAACGACTGCAGAGAGCTGAAATTGGCCTGACCGTGGGATCGTGGTCTAATCAACAGAGAGTCAAAGAACCCAACCTTGGACGAAATTGGTCTCACCTGCCACGTTGCTCTTTGATACTGAAGACCCTTCACCTTGCACGTAGTAATGTTGTTGAAACCTATAATCCAAATACCAAACAAGTCTTGTAATCATATCTTATTTCTATCCATTTATTTGTAAGAGAAAAAAGGAGATATTCTTACCCTATTTGTAAAAAGGGTTCGGTGTTGCAATCCAGTGAAATAGGATGAGAAGGCTCAACCGGAAATTCAGAATTGTTTCGATCCCCGGCCGCCGAGTTTGCCCATAAGTCTTGAAACGTTTTGAAAGCATGGCCTTCCGTCTCAAACTATTGAAAATTTACGTTTACTTAAGAGCCAACATCATAATTATATGACAATTTATATAATTTTGTGATCTAGAAATAAAAACCTTAATCTTGAGTTGTTTGTTTATGTCTCCTAGTTGCCTCTCCTGCACTTCAAAAGTACATTGATTGATATGCATATATGTTTTTCAGTTTGGTATGAAACATTTATATATAATTAACTTGCCTTTTTCCTAAGATCTTCCATTTCTTCCATCATAACTTGTGTCTGCATATATATGTTAGCTGAATGGTTAATTATGAATACTGTTTGATGATAAACATAAATATATTTCGAAATGAAACAAAAGACCAGTCTAGATCATGTGACCTTGCGCTGTCGAGTCGCGGTAAGAGCGGCTTCGAGCTGCCTCTCGAGCGCTTGCAGTTCCTTCACACCCATTTCTCCAAGATCTTCTCCAAGCAAATTCCTTTATAATTAGCGATTATCAATAAACATAACTATAGATTTGTAACTATACATATATATTGGAAGATGATAATAACGATTTAATTTCAAGGGATTAGAAACCTATTAGTGCGAACAAGAGATTCGTATTTGGATTTAAGCTTTGTCACCTCCTGACACCAACTCTGCACCATATTAGATTATACAATGAAATGCATATATAGTAACAAGAGAATTTGAAGAAAGAGAGTTAGCTCGAATACATTTATTGTAAAAATCAAAGTACATACACACACACTTGCCTGTGTAGTCTCTTCAGGCTTATTATTGCTTAGAGTACAGTTGTAACAACGGTTATACCGTTCGATTGTTCTTGCAATTCTACAGCAAATTCAATTTAAAAAAAAAATGAGAGATCATTGGCTCAAGTATGTATAAAGATTCTTCTTACAACAAGAACTCAAGTTATATCTTACACGCATGGTCTAAAAGGTAAAACCCTAGTTTGGAATTTTTTAAAAAAGCTAGAAACCCATTTTGCAATCTGGCATCTTTAAGATTAAAGAATCAAACGAATTCAATCAACAAATTTAATTTGTCAAATTATAACGTACGGATGGACCCATTAGCTTATGATTAAGGATCCAAGAGAGAGCTACAGAAGATATATATAACGATGAACCCTAATTACCACAGGATAAAAGACACAACCATTAAGAATACCCACAAGATCAAAACATGATCCGACTCTTGAATCGTACGATATAACCAGTAATAAAAGAACCCATTTAATCAAATTTTCATTAAAAACCTAACTTTATTGAATGAATCTAAAGAGCACAAAAGTTGGTTCGAAGGAGCAAGATATATATACCCAACACTACCGAACTCGTAGAGCTTGCCACGGCTTGAGAAGATGATGAGAGCAACTTCGGCATCACAAAGAACAGAAAGCTCATAAGCTTTCTTCAGCAAACCGTTTCTTCTTTTTGAGAAGGTCACTTGTCTATTAATCTTGTTCTCTATCCTCTTCATCTCCACTCTCCCTCTTCCCATCTTTCTCTCTCCTTCTCTTGATTCTGATTTCTTCTTCTTCCTCTTCTTCTCAAGAATTGGTAACTTTTAAAAGTATAGAGAATTAGAGATCAAAGGAATATAAGTATCGTACACGACAATGTGTTTCTATATATATAAACTATTTTTACTTTCTATTCTTATTGTTATAGGTTAATAACTTAATATGGTGAATAATTACATATATCCTTTTTAATTAATTATCAACCGTCCTAAGTATGTGAAAGTGGTACCAACAAATAAGATTTTTTGTTGGAGAAATAAATAAAAAATAGCGTCAATATTTGATGGAACAAAATGATAAATCTGTCTTCATCGTTATAGCTAGATTCCTAAGAATGGAAATCTACTTGTAACAGTAGGACCATTGAAAATTTCTATTATTTTCTCTTTTTAATTATTAGGACTCTTTTTTTTTCCTAGAGCTCGATTCCAAATTCAAACTAATTCATTTTTTGTTCCAAATGTTATGGCTCCCGTTCATCTACTTATTGTAGTTTTTTTTTTTTTTTGTGTGTTTATATGATGACTATACTCATTTGTTGTTATAAATAAACAGACAATATTGGTTTTCTAATGCCATGAAGCATTGATCTATAATACTCGCAACTTTATATATCGATATATTTTAATTGAAAACCGTGATTCAGTATGTTTGTTTACTTGACCTAAAATCGGACGAAGTTAATGCTGATTGGTTTTTACTAATTTTGGAACTTTTTAAGTGGTCAAAGAAGAGGAAGAAAATTCATCATTGTTTTTGAAGCTCTCGCACAGCTGGTTAAATATAGATGAAATAGTCGTCAAAACGAAACCTGTATTGTTACCTCTGAAAATAAATTGAAATGAGATATTTTTCCTATGTATATGCAAAAATATATTTACAGTTTCATCGCTAATATCCAAATGATTATTTTTAATCAGTTATTGATGTTTTTTTCACGTATCATTTGATATCTTGACGATTCTTTCAACGTTATCCATCAAAACGGTAACTAATTCAATTATGGGTTTAAAACTTGTAAGTTAAATAGTGGACACTTCACGTACGTCAACTATTTTTCAGCCAGACGTGAACTTAAAAACGTCAAGTTAATTTTCGGCTAATGAGATATTGAAGCTCAATGGAGTGAATTAACAGATCATCACATGAATCATATGTAAGGCATCCTCTCTTTTGTATTGTAGGCCTTACCTTTTTATCAATCAGTCGGCGTGTCAGTGTCTTGTGGTTTTAAGAAAAAAATATTCAAACCTCATTGTCTCCACATGTTAAATAGTCTTTTTCTTCGTCCGAGGCAACAATTATTTAATCAAATATATTTAAAAACTTAAAATGGATCGTCATATACATTTAGACTATACAAAATAGTATATGTTTTGGTGGAGTGTGAGTATTATTAAAAAAGAAAATAATAGAATAGTATAACACATGGGTGTGAGATAACACTTGGGTGTGAGTATTATTTTAATGTTTTATGTTTTATCTCTCTTTCTCTCTCCTCTCTCTCTCTCTCCAATAACCAAATCTCTCTCTCTTAAAAAAAATTATAATAAATATATTGTTAACACACACCCACCCACATGCACCATTGTGGGTGCTCTTAGAGAATTTACAACGATAAAAGTTTCTTAAATATAATAATTTAATATTTTTGTAATAAAAAATTATTTGTTTAAATTTTAATTAATTAAAAAAGATTTTAACCAATCAAATAATATCAAGTGTCAGACACAGTATCTCAGAATGTGTCATTTCAGAGTTTTTCAAATAAAACATTCTGTCTCATTCTCTCTCACACTTTTAATTATTTTTAATTTTTTTAAATTTTTAAACACATTTTGAGAAACCTCCAATGCTCTTACTTGTTTTCGATTAGTACATGTAACTATTTTTACGAACGTTTAGTTATCGCCCATATGCTAGAGGAACACATAAGTTTACAAACAACATAGAATTGTCACATTATATATGGAGCAACAACATACATTGATAAATCTGTATATCTTTAACTACAACACACATAAATTGATGATTTATGATATCAAGAGTTGTAATCTAGTAGTTTCATCTATATTTTTACATTATATATAGAAAAATGAAAGCTTATCAAATGTTAGTGGTGGGCTACTACATCTACAATATATTTTTTAAAAAAAATCAATAACTAGAACGGACAGTGACCGAACCATTCTCGTTGTGTCTAATCCTTAAGAAAATAACAAAGGAAAGTCGTACGTTTGATGATATAAAACCTTTTTTTATGTTTGGACGAGTTTCATAGAACATGGTGGACAAAAGTATAGTAGTCTACTATTTAGTATTTCCTTTTTAAAAACAAGCCAAGCCATGGAAATGACTTTGTACCATTCACAGGTAATTTAGTGAGTATTTGTTTATTTACAAAGATGTGAAGGGAAGAGAGGTTGTGGTGGTGGTGGTTAGGGGCATGCCAAAGACGGAAAGGCAAGCAAAGAAGATCGCGTAGTCTTCGTAATTTCATACTTTTCACTTTGTAGTAATCTTTCCTTTATTTGAAGAAAAAAAAAAAAGTAATCTTTCCTTTATTTTTTATTTTCCCTTTTTTAAAAATTCCTCACCATTGTTTCTTTGTTCAAATTAATATCCACACACTCTTTTGGAAATGGCACTGCAGCTTCATGTGAGGTGTGGGGTCATTGCGCCTTATCATCTGAAAATGTTACCCTCTTGACATTCAATGACCCTATTTTCTTCTTTTCCATAATTTCTCTCCTTAATTTCTTTTACCATTTTACTATAACAAAAATGAAGCAAAAAGAATAGGTAAAGAACAACATATAATTTTTTTAATGGGATCATAGTAGGGTACTTGAAGTCACTATGCATTGAATATGGATTGCTATATTTCTCTCTCTTTTTTAATCTCAATTTTGAGTTAATGATCTTCAAATGTGTGTTTCAAATATAGCATTAACGGCGGTATATCAAGAATAAAAAAAAAAAAAAGAAGAAATTTTAATACACTTTACATATATCTCTATTTCAGTTAAAATTTTAAAAATGCCAACGAACCATAATTGTCCCTTTTAAATCATTTCATTTCATTTCAAAAGGACCATTGACGACGAAATCTATAAATTAGTAAGGCCCAAATTTTTGTACAAAGGCCCATTAGGTTGAATAACTATGGGCCTAAAGCGGTCCGATCAATCTCTGTGACATTACCTTTTTCTTCGTCGTAGAGATTTCTCGAGAGAGAGAAAAAGAGAAAAAGATGGCTGAAGCAGCGAGAAGACAAGGTGGTGGGAGACCACTACCGCCACCTCCGAGAGGCGCTAACCAACCTAATCGCCCTAAACCTGAACCTGTCGATCGTGAAAAGGTTTGTTTTCGATTTCATAGATTCGCGAATCGTTGAAACATCTTCTAGGGTTTGTGTTCTGTTTAGGGTTTTAATCTGCAGTCACTGATGATTTCTTTATGTTTAACCTTCGAATCGCAGACATGTCCCCTACTTCTTCGTGTTTTCACCAAGGTACGCTTCATCAATGACATAGTTTAATCACTGGGCACTCTCGAGAATTGGCGATGTTTGTTTTCTTATGAATTAGATTGCAATTTGGGATTAATTGGGTAGTTTTGATTGCAGAGTGGTGGTCATCATACTAATGAAGATTATGCTGTGAGAGGCAGAGAACCAAAAGATGAAGTTCAAATCTACACTTGGAAAGATGCCACTCTTCGCGAGTTAACAGATTTGGTATGTCTTTTGCCATTAAGTTTTAGATTGGGTGCTCGAGACCACAATAAAGCAGCTTCCTTTGAGAACTTTTCTACACATGACAGATTTCAGCTAAAGGATTCACTTTGTTTTACTGCTTAGTGCTGATTAAAGTTCACAGTTTTTTGGGATGTTTCTCATAAGCACAAAGTAAAATCACGTTTGCATTGCAGGTGAAAGAAGTTTCTGTAGCAGCTAGGAGAAGGAATGCAAGATTGTCTTTTGCGTTTGTTTATCCTGACAAGCAGGGTCGCTTTACTATGAGAGAGGTAAGTAAGATTACGTTTCTTCATAATCTTGATAGTGTATCACCATAGCCACACATGATCATTGATACATTCTAGAGTTTCTGTGTTTCTCTGCCACATCTCTTAGTCACACATGTAGCTACCAATCATTCAGAGTTTTATCGACAATGTTTCTATAATATCTTGAACATGTCTTTTGCTTATTGACTGATGACAACTCATCTTCCCATGGTTATTGATTTTTGAAACTTGAGAGACCACATCGTTATAGCTAGTCACTACAGAATGTATTAATTTGATTGAATGGTTGCTTTCAGATTCAATTGTTATGGCTTCTACTTGTTTTCTCTGTGATGTTTGCATTCAAGAACCCATGAGAAGAGTCTGATCTTGTGGTTGTTTTTTTGTTAATTGGTAAAGGTTGGGCAGACTATGTCTTTTCCGAACCGAAAACAACCAGATGACAGTAAAACGCTTTCCGACCTTAGGTTTGAGGTACGTTAACCACACAGAAGATCCATCTTGTAGATGATGATATAGTTTATAACCTTATTTTTTCAATTTTTTGCCCAAGTAGCTATAACTGCAGTTGATCAATCTATCTGCAGATTGGAGATTATCTGGATGTCGCAATTTACTAGGAAGTTTCTGTTTCGTTAAGTGGGATTTAGCTGCGTGCACAATGGAAGAAGAACACATTTCATGGTTGTACCATCTCAAACTTCGTTTAGACATTTTATGTATTTTTGGATCTGGTCTGTGCACTAATGTCTAATGGTTTAGTATAATATCCTGCTTTTTTTTTTGTTTAAAGGGTTTTCTGTCCTAAAGAACCAAAAAAAAAAATGGAAGAACTCAGCCCTTTTATATAGAAAAAGGTTTAAAATATACTACTACTTGTATATGTGTCAAATTAAGATTTCAACCGTTATTAGTAGAATTAGTACTCGTACTTAACATAGGAGAAGTTGCTGAAGAAAGAAATCGGAGAAGTGAAAAAAAGAAGATGAATTTAGACAACATTAACCATCAAGACCGAGTGATAAACATAAAAGAGTGAGCAATGGAAGACAAAAAAATGCTTTAAAAATAAAGATATAATTCTTGAATTGAATTATACAAAAGTTTAATAGCAAAATATGAACGTTGCGTTTACGACTCCCTATATTGTTCCAACGTTATGTTTGATTTGACTTGAGGGTAGGGATAAATTTAAACGTTGAAATGGTAACATTTTCTTACTGTTAGAAGTATAATATTTTATTACAAACATTCAGATAATGACTCTCTATAAATACTCCTTTCTTGGGTCAGAAATCTGAATCCTCTTAACTGGTTTATATTTTACAAATGTCGAGTACAATCTGTTTTTCTCTCTTAGTTCTGTACTTCTGTTTTTCCACTTGAGTCCAACCATAGGCTTCAATCAAACAAACATAAAGCATCATCTCTTACAAGGTAAAATACTCTTGTCTAATTGAATGGTTCTTGTTAATTTGTTTACATGTTCTTCGTCTTTTAATCATCTTTTATGGAATTGAACATTAAATTTTAAATGCTCTGTTTTAAATCCATTTTAAATGTATATATATTGCTGGCTTAACTTCAACGATGTGGACAATAAACTGATTTTTAGCTTATATTTGTATCATTCATAATTCTAGTTAATATATGTATTTTATGTCTAAAGGAAAACATAGAATGAGATTTTGTTTTTTATGAAAGAACAAAGAAAGAATGGATTGGCTTCAAAAATGCTTATGATTTTTATGTAAATAATATATATTCATGTACCAAAATTGACAAACGAAAAAAAACGATTGTAATGAAGATTGATTTTGGTTAATTAATTTTGCAGAGGTTGATGATGAAGGGAAACAAAAAAGCCTTGGGACTCTATCCAGCGTTTTTCCATCAAGCTTTGCCAGCCTTTGTTGAAAAGTTGACTAGATTTGTGCATTTATGTATAGATGTAATTTCTTTTTTCTTTCCTGATAAAGATACATGGATGTGTATAGATGTATGTATAGGGTATGAGTGATGTGTTAGGTGTGCATAGGCATAGATATATGAATGAATAGGCAGGCGTAGATGTATATGTATAGGCATAGATGTATGTATAGGTATAGATATGAATAGGCGTAGATGTGTATGTATAGGCGTAGATGAATAGGCATAAATGTGTGAGCGTAGAACGTGAGACCAACGTGGAGCATAGCCAAAGTAAAAATCGCTAAGCATACAAAACAAAACACTCAAACGCCAAAGTCAAAAGCGAACCACGCCAATTATCTAACTTTAAACCTTCGGCTCCTTCGGCCATGGTATCAGAGCCAAACCACGCCTGGATCTACTTTAAACCTTCGGCCATGGTATCAGAGCCAAATTTGGGCTAATTCTCCAACAAACGACGACGCCAAGTATCTAAATTATTGGTTTCACAACAACTTATTTTTTAAAGGTGTACGAGGCAAGTAAATAACGCAAAAAAAAAAAAATGTAAGGAATACTCAAAAATATAACGCCAAACGTAGTACTCAAAATTAAATAATAAACGTCAAATTTATATGCTAGTCGAAACACGAACCTTTCTAAAACAATAAATTAATAAAGCGTTTTGTTTCATAATAGTTGTCGTTTTAAAACAATAATTTAAAACAGGAGTATGTCAAAAAGAAAATAAATACAAAAATGAAACGACAAAACTTAGAAGAAACACATTAAAAAGGAGAAAATACAAAATATTAAACAACAAATCTAAGCCAAAATCTGAATGACATAGCTAATCGAAACACTAAATTCTAATTGAACGAAAAATAAACGGTCGATATTAGAAACTTAAGGAAAAAAAGAACAAAAATAAACGTCAAATTAATACACTAAACTTCTGAAACACAAACGATCGCTCAAATAATAATAAGCAATCAAATTTTGAACGACATCACTAGTCGAAACACTAAAAAGAAATATCGCTTAGGGAAACACTAAAACACAACAATAATTCGATACACTCAAATGAGCAAATGCCAGGCTTGAAAGAGCAAATGAAAAAAAAAAAAACACAAACGACTCAAACTTTCCCAGCTCAACCTTGACGACGACCCATCAAAGAACAGGAGTTAGTAGAGGTTTATTGGAGAAGAAAGCTTCAATATTCGCTACTAAAAGTTTCCCAAGTTCTTCAAGACCTTCCAGTGACATAAAAGCACAATGTGGAGAGAAAACAACATTATCCAATTCAAAAAGCTCCTTTGGAACATTAGGCTCATCTTCAAAAACATCCAAACCAGCACCACCAATCTCACCTTCTCTCAAGCATCTCACCATTTCTACCTCATCGATTATAGCCCCACGAGCGACGTTAACGATCACTCCTTGCTTTCCCAGAGCAGAAAGAACATCTTTATTAATCAAATGCATAGTCTTCTCATTCAATTCACAACAGATTATGAGTGCATCACTGTTAGCTGCCATCTCCTCTATATCCATGTAATAATGATATGGAACATCATATGGTTTTTGGTTTCTTGAGCTATATGAAATTTGGCAACCAAAGGGCTCGAGCCTCGTAGCTACCTTCGAGCCAATGCTTCCTAGTCCCACGATTCCGATTCGCTTTCTCCCCAACTGCAAATTAAATCCACAAATTATAACAAATTTGAATTTGTTGCTAATTTGATTTACACAAGTTATGTTGCAAACCTTGGAACCGAGGGGATAATCCCCTTTGAGTGGCCAAAACCGTTGCTTAACGAACCGATTGGCGGCAGAGATGCGGCGGAAAACGTCGATGAGTAAACCGACGGCAGTATCTGCGACATCTTCTGAGAAGCTTGAGCCAGCGTTGGCGACGGAGATGCCTCGACGACGACACTCAACTAAGTCAACGTGGTCAACGCCGGCGCTGGTAGTAACAACCAAGCGAAGATTCGGGAGGAGGCGAATCAGATCGGCTGTGACGGGAGCAGCTACCGGGGCTATAACGGCGGAGACGGAGTGAGAGTGATTGGCCAAGAAAGCAGGGAGAGGAAGCGGAGACTCGAAGGCTTTCAAGATCTCAAACTTGGTGGAGGCCACGAATCTGTCGCCCAGCACAGCCATGGCGGCGGGACGTTTGACGATGAGGACACGTGGAAGATTCTCGGTGGTGGACAAAATTGAGGAGCTCGTCGTCATCGTTGCTTGGCGCGAGACCGATCTGTGTTGAATTATTATCAAAACATTATTTTCACGATTTCAATTTTGTTCCAACATTTTTTTTTTTCTGGTGACACAATACACGACACGTTTAATCCACCCACCACGATCACTTCAAAACTAAGACTTGTTTTTTTGTTGGTGGGTCACAAGCAAGATTCCAAATCAAACCAAAAAGCAAAAAGAACAGAGCCGGAATCTTCTACCCATACATAAATATATACAAGCCACACGAATCCGATTCAAATGTTTTCAAGGTTTAGTTGTTGCCTTGTCCATTATTATCTCCAGGAATATATGGTTCGAAAAGCTTGGCACATGGGTTAGGCTCTTGATGCATAATCCTTGCAGCTCGTTCAAACTCTTCCCTCAACACTCGGATACTAAACTTGTCGACCACCCGACCCAGATCATGGCTCGTCTCAAACGGATCCTCTATGCATATCAAGTGTCTGTCGTTCCCCACCCTTCTCGTCCAGTCCTTCTCTCGCTTACTGCAACACACACATTCATGTTTCATCTCTGAGATCGTTGCTTCAAAGATGTTACATCAAGTATAATTGAGTTTTTAGTTTACCCAAGTATGGAACCGGTGCGGACGGATACAACATTATACGCATAGTCATGAGCGTAAGCCCAGTAGTTGAAGAATCCCCACACCAGCTCAGCTATGGTCTCCCTGTTACTTGATCCGAAGTTACGGAGTCTATCAACATTATCAAAGTATGCGCACCGGATATTATCTACCCGAACTGAGTAAGTCGGCTCCATTTCCTGCATCAAGTAATAAGTTCAATAAAAGAAGAGCATTCAGTACACTATATAAGGGAGATAATATATTATACACACCTGTAAGCAAGGAAGAATTGGCGGCCTACGCTGCTGCAAGAAATGGATGCACATCAGAACGTACCTGCAAAAATATCAAATGTAAGTAATGATTGTTATGTGCAAAACTGCAAATGAAAGTAACTTCAATTAAAAGTGTGGAGGAGAACTTACGCGTAGCTGGAAAGTGTTCCTTGATATGTTTCATTAACCCTTCTTGACTTTGCCCAATGTTTCACAATGAAAGCCAACTGCCTTAAACGCACATCTATCTGCGCATAATCTCGCAAAAGTTTTGTGTTCACAACAGCCAATACATTGTTGATGCAGATATCACAAGATATCCCAGTAACCGGATCCATAAGTTTTACAATTGGAACCCTAGCTCGTGTTAGTGCCTACACAAAAAACAATGTTTCAGAAAATATAGGCACCAGATTCAAAGCCAGAAAAGCGTATCAAGTACCAAATCAACGTGTTTATATAAGTAAAAGCATTTACTTTACCTGAACATTCTGGAGATTATCTGATTCCAACATCTCCGCCAGCTTTAACAACATCTCAGATTTGTTGATATCATCACCTTCGATTGCAAGGCAAACATCGATGTCGCTCTTCGGAAAACCAAAAGAGTTAGCACAGGACCCGTAAAGATACAACTTTGCATGAGGCCATTCTTTGGCAACTAGATTCTCAAGATGTGCCATTAGTTGTCTCTGCTTCTCCAGCTCCTCTTCTGCGGGAATCAGGGACTTGTAGACTGCAATGAATGAAGCATCATACCTGTGGATGTCATTTCGACATGCCATATACATTTTAACCATTCTTGCCTTTTGGCCAAGCAGCCGTTGACCCCGATTGTCCATTCTCGAATCCTGATAACAAAACCCCGATTAATCAATCTTTACAACCTAAAAAAGCATCCTTTCTAGTTCGGGAATTGACTAAACACCATCACTGAATGTTCCCAACAAGTCATTAGTAGTATATTACAACTGTTGATTTTAGGTATATCCTATATTACAAGCTTACACAAAAACTGAAACGTACCTTCTCGCGAGAAGTCTTGCTATCCTTCTTCCCATCTTTTGCGTCCTTCTCGCCAGTTTCATCTTCAAGCAATAAAGACTTAACAATATCTTCTCCAAAATCCTCAATCTCGTCATCAACAGGGCCAGAGTTTGCATTGCCTTCCCTCTTTCCCTTACTGAGCCGCCCCAATTCCTCTTTACGTTCACTTCCACCACGAGCTTCCTTGTTCAACATCGAAAAGGAATCTGCAGCATCAGCTGCTGATACAGAATGAAGACTTGTACCCTTAGGTAGTCCAGGATGATCTATTTGTTGACTAAGATTGAACTTGCTATCATTCTGGATTGATAATCCCCTTAATCTATCAGCCTCAGCAGAAAAATTAACACTTTGATCCCAAAATTTAGAATGCTCACCCATTGCTTGATCATGATTCCTATGGAAACTACCCATCCCTCTATCATCATCCTTACTTGTTAAATTCATATCCCTTCCTCTTTGGTTACTCGAAAATCCAGGAGGAGGAGGAGTGGACTTGAAACCCCTGCCGTTATTCCCAATATGACCCCAGTTTCCTCTTCCGCTGTGACTTCCTCTGGGTTCATGGAGGTTTGGATCCATGTTAGAATTCGAGAGAACAGATTGGGGATGCCTCATGAGCTGTTCGTGTTGATTAGAATCGTACTTCAAGTTCCCGTTATGTAACCCATTAAGGCTTTGGGTAGCATCTCCCGAGAAAGAACCAAAAACAAGCTTCCGATTCTCAGATTGCGGCGGCGGTAGCTGCTGTTGTTGTTGCTGTACCATGGACTGAATTGCGTGGTTTGCAGTACCAGGAAACCCTAATCTAAAAGCATCTTCCGGAGATACTCTTTGATTACCGTCGAATTGGTTCGTAGGAAAAGGGTTAAGCGGGAATTGAGGAAACCCTAGGAAATTGGGGGGAAGATTAGGAGGAGGTGAAAAGGCGAGTGGCCAAGAAGGATTATGATTACCGGGTCGATGACCGTTAGATTGCCAATTCGACGGAGGAAAAGGATTATTCACGGTAGGGCCAATGGCTGCGATGGCTGGATCGAGAGCGAATGACTGATGCTGAGGACCTTGAGACGACGGCGAAGGACTTCCGTGAAGAATAGACAACAGAAATTCACCGGCGTTTATCGATGGTGGAGCTGGAGGGTCAGCCCCACCGTCCGCCATGGAGGAGAAGAGAAAGTGAAGAAGAAGTATTAGAGCGAAAGTGAAACACTTTGGCAAGTCGAAGATCTTTCAATGTTGAATGACCACCACCGAGATCTTTCTTTCTTCAAGGTTTAACGGATCTCGTGTGTGTGTGTGTGCTTTTTTTTTTTTTTTAAAGGAAACTGCCTCACACATAATATCCTGACCGTCCGATTTTTTATCACAAGTTGGACTTAAAAATTGAACTAGGTTTTGATTTCAATTAGTAAATCACTAAATTGTGAAATAAGGGAATAATAGTATAAATGTGATGAAAAAAAAAAAAAAAGTAAAAATGTGTGATTAGTCAAATCATACAAAATGAATTTACCACTTGGTGATTTCTTGGACAACTAACTATATAGAAGTCGAAGAATGTAACTAAAGCTCATGATCTCTTTAGACTTGCCTACACTGGAACCGAAAACATGGTCATGATTTCATATGATTGTGCAGTTCATAAAAAATTTGTAAAACCATGAACTTTCCGGTCTTTTTTCCCTTTAATTAATCTATTTTAAATATGACAATGTTTGATGTATTCAATTTTACAATCGATTGAAGTAGAAATCAATACAATATGAAGTAACAATGTTGACATTTAATCAAAAAAACAAAAAACAAAAAAAAAATGTTCTATGTAATTGTTAAATGTAGTAACAATATTCAATGTAGTTGTTGAATGTAAATAAAGAAAGAAATTGAGAAAAATAATGTTTAAAAGAATGATTAGATGAAAACTTGAAATGAATAATCAACTGATAAAATCTCTGATCATATTAAGAAGAGCGACGGCTCGCCGTGGATCGACGAGCTCGATGCTATGGAAACCGGCGTCGTCAAACCTTGCTTCAACCCTAACTCCAGCCGCAACCAACAAATTCACGAAATCTTGTTGTCGATCCAACGACGTGTCTCCGCCGTAACCGATCACTAAACACCGTCCAAGTCGTCCAACTTTCTCTTTTTGCGGCAAATAACCCAACGGATTACAATACCTATGATCCCGATCAACACCTACCGGCAAAGATAGTTCCCACATGGCGTCAACAGCCGGCACCGGCATCACCGGATCGGCGAAATTCTTGAGCTCCGATTTCGTCCTCGTTTTACCGCCAAAAAGCGGTTGGTAAAACACGCAACCGTCAATTTTTAACGGCGTCAAATCGTGGTCTAACGATCTCAGTGCCAATTGGAAAGCGATGTTAGCGCCGTTACTCGAACCGCAGATATAACACCGTGAGAAATCGGCGTAGTCTCTAAGCCAAGGCTCGCCGTTAGTTGAGTCAACGACTTGCTGTTTGACCCAAAGCAGAGCGTCTAATGCGTCGTCGTATTGAGCTGGGAGTCTATGTTCAGGAGGTAAACGGTAGTGTACGGAGACAACAATCACCGTTAACTCACTGGCCATTTGAGAGCAGCAACGGTTGTTCGCAACGGAATTGGCTGGGTAAAGGATCCAACCGGAGCCGTGGAGATGGATGATAATTGGGAGACGAGCGACGGCGTTATCGTTGGATGGTAGATTAGTTGGTCGGAAAATACGTACGGACACGCCGGTTTCGTGGTTAATGGTTACGTCTTTGGAAGCGGCGAGCTTGCCAGGGCATGGATCCGGGTCGGGATCAACCATCGGCCAAATGAAGTGGCGCGTGCAAGAACCGTTGGGGTTGATTGTTATGTTGAGGTGTTTGTATGGATCAAACGCGGGACGAGAGTCACGTGACATGGTTTGATTATTAATTTGAGTGATTAAAAGGAGGTTAACTTTGACTAAGAAGAAATGTTTAGATTTTTTTCTTCTTTCTTTTCTTTTTTCTGTTGTGCATCTGTATTACTGTTTTACGTTTAATGGAGCTTAGGTTGTGATTAGGATGAATACACGGATTATTTGTGGTCATGATTAAACGCAGTTTAACGATATTGACCAATTTAAGAATGTTTTTATATTTCGTCTAATTGAGGAATAATGTTCTACATTTGCTTGTGTATTTGAATGTGTAAATCCCTACCAAATACAAACTAGATTAGATAAAATTATTAGGCATATATAGGTGTATATCTATATAAAATTTGTATCAACTTCCTAAGCACCTTAAGAATTTTAAATTTCGACAATCTAATCTTTGTAAAATTATAGTTGCATGAGCTGCACATTCAACAATGTTCTTAATGCAATATCCAAAAGAATTATGTAAACAATTCATCATTCATGATATGATAGTACGTTCACCTATTAAAATATATCTTTTCGTTGGTAGAAATCATAATTTGACATGTTCATAAAACTTAACTCACCGATTCTAGATGGTTTAGGCATTAAGCAACATTAGAACGTCCCATTCTCTTTTTAAATATTTAGTAAATAGATTAAATACGTCCACTATATTTATTCAATGGGTATACATTTTTCCATTGAAACCACACATATAATACGTGACTTAAAACATCGAAAATTGCAGGAATTTAATTATTAAGTCGATAAGACATGATTAGATCGGATTGCTACATGTTGGGGGATGGGCCAGTTGATGAACAACTCTTCATAAAGGCCTCAACGGTTTCGTACAAGGCCTTAGCTTTGTTCCCATCAAACAACTCACAAGCATGAAACCCATCTTTATCAAACCTCGTCTCGACGTGCACTCCACGTGCCTTCAGCATCTCCGCCACGTGTCTCTGACGATCCACTAACGGATCCCCACCGTAACCGTTTATAAGAGTCGACGGAAAACGTCCCATCTTCTCTTTTTCATTGGGCCCACTGCTCTTAATCGGATTGCAGTACACGTGGTCACGATCTACACCGTCCGGTAAACAAAGCGACCATAACAAGTGAGTAGCTGGTAACGGACAGATCTTATCGTCTTTAAGCCGTGATTCAGAATCTGACGGCTCAACGCCACCGAAGAAAGCTTGGTTCATTATCAGCCCTTGGATCTTAACAGGAGTGAGATCTGTGTCGACCACACGCAACGCGACGTTGTAGACGATATTTCCTCCGGAGCTCGAACCCATCACGAAGCATTTCGAGAAATCGACACCGTCTTTTAACCACGTGTCACAATCACCACCGTTGATTGCGCCACGAGCTTGATCGCGGAGCCATAAGACTGCTTCGACGGCGTCTTCGTACGCCGCCGGGAGACGGTGTTCGGGAGCTAGACGGTATTCCACGGAGAGGATTATGGTTTGAAGACGATCAGCCATTTTGGTACAAGATTCATGGAAAGGAGCTGAAGCGGCGCTATAGAGGATAAACCCGCCGCCGTGGAAGTAAACGAGGATCGGGAGTTTTGATTCCGGCGGAATATTCCGGGGCTTGAAAATTCGGATGAAGGTATTGTTGGTTTGGTTTAATGGGATGTCTTTGGATTGCTCTGTTGGTGGCAATTTGGGGAACTCACGGTGTCTAGTGAGAGATCCATCTGAGTTAAGTGTAATGTTGAGGAACTTGTATGGATCGCTTGAAGGTGGAGGAGCTTCCATGGATGCTTCAGAGAGAATTAGATATGGTTGTGTGGTGAAAATGTGTGTTTATGAAGAAGAATTGAGAAATTAAGGAATTAGAGGTTGAAAAGATCAACGTCCTCATTAAAGATTGGGACTTTTCATTCAAAGTTGCAGTTGGATTTGCTAAAGAATCGTGTGAAATTTGCAAATATCTCTCCATTAATAGTGGTTTAGATTAGACTGTACTAACAATTAGATTGACATCAATCGTAGAATAAAACCTAATATGACGGCTAATACATTTGTGTGCCATAATGATCGACCAAGAAGTTGATGTGCATTAACTCCATCATAGGCAGTTTAACCATCAGGCCGGCCCATCATAGACAGCTGACCGCTTTGACATATAGCAGGTTTGATTGTTTGGTTACAACTAGAATTTTAAGACGAATGCATTTTGATTTCTGAATTGAAACCATGGGAACACTTGCACAAGCATAGTCTGTCTCCTAAAGTCATAACCGTGATTCATATGAAATACCAATTTGGTTAAGAGCATTAAGAGAAACGATACAAAAAAAAAAAAGGTGAACTTGCCCCGTACCCATTTATTCATACAGCGGAAGACAGGGAAGGCAAACATTTTTTCAACCTGGGCCCATTTAGTTTTTGTGCATAGATTTCAGCAAAAAAAACTAATCATGATCATCTAATCTACTTGACTACTTGATGTCAATTGGAAATTCATTATTGTCTAAACTAAAATGTTAAGCATCTAAGATCAAATATTTGCAAAAAGCTAATCTTATGGAATCAAACGGTTTCCAACAAGTCGCAATTGGTTTAGAGTAAATCAACACTTGATGACTGAGCTCAAAACCAAATCCGAATTTCACCGTGCTTTCTTCCTTGACTTAAAAGGAAAACCCATAGGCGGCGACGGTGAGAACTCAAACGGCAAATGCGGTGGCTCAGACGCACCCGAAAGCATCTGAACAATCTCCTTCATTGTCGGTCTCTTAACTGGAGATCTTTGCAGACAAAGCAATGCAATCGTAATACAAAGAACCGCTTGTTCTTTCTCCAAAGAATGTATAGATTTATCAACTAACTCCAACAATTTATCATTGCAAGCCAATTGCTTAGCCCATGATATCAAATTAGCCCTCTCAAACTCCGACATCGGTGATGCAGTCACCTGCAATGGCCGTCTTCCTGAGACAAGAACCAAAAGCAGAACTCCAAAACTATAGACATCACATTTCTCAGACAACACACCTCCACCGCCACATTCTGGTGCAATGTAACACACCGTACCTCTCATACTCGGTGTGCTGCTGACTCCACCACTCTTCTGAACATTCACATCACACCACAAACCAGAATCTTGACTGTTTTTTTTACCAATGACTGACTTTAGATCCCCACTTAACCCATCTACCCACCAATCTATACTATTCCTCTTCTTCCTCTTGGTAGGGTTAAGATTGTGGTCATGAACAGAGGAAGCATCATCGTCTCTATGAAACCAAGAGTCAATGCTTGAGATTGAGCTTAACCCTCTTTTCTTCTTCTTTTTCCTCTTCTTTCTAGTTAGCTCTTCACAAAACTCTTCCTTCCACCATTCTCTAGGCTTTCGCTTCTTCTCTTTCTTCTTCTTCTTAAAGACTGATGATGACCCATTGTTGATCCATTCCTTATTGTTGTTCTCTTTCTTAATCTCACTCCCAATCCATTCCATCACATAATCCTTCACACTCCCTGATTCAATGCCTCCTCTGCTTCCACCATTGTTGTCCTGTTTCCACCACCAATCTCTCTTCGATCCCACTTTCAGCTTACCACTCTCCGGCGATAAACCCGATGCAGCTCCTGGTGACAATCCAGTCTCCGTCAAGACGCTAATCGCACAAGTTTCCGGCGACGTTATCGACGTCAGCCCCGGAGATGCTGCTCCCACCTCCACCGTCAAAACGCTAACTGCACAATTCTCAGGCGAAAGTCCAGATTTTTCATCCGGAGACGCCACCGCCGTCTCCGTCAAGACACTGATCCCACAATTCTCCGGCGAGAGATTGGCAACATTATTACCCTCTTCAAACACAGTAATCACGCTTTCAGTCTCCTCAAGAATCGACCCATTATCTTCAACAACATCCTTTCTCTTCTCATCTTCCTCAATCAGAATCCTAGTATCTAAATCCTCGGACTTTACTCTCGCGAGCCCGAAATCTCCGATTTTGGCCTTGAAATCAGAATCGAGAAGGATATTACTAGGTTTAATATCTCCATGGATGATAATTGGATCACAGCAATGGTGAAGAAACTCGATCCCTTTAGCGATATCCGTCGCAATCTCAAACCTTTTGTTCCAATCCATAAGTTCCTCACATTTGCGATCCAAAAGCGCGTCTTGTAAACTACGATTAGCCATAAGCTCGTAGACGAGAATAAGCTTCCGACCACGACGATCGGAGGAGAATCCGAGGAGAGAGACGACATGAGGAGAGCCGATTAAGGGAGAAGAGAGAGAAAGCTCATTGTGAAACTCACGCTCGCCTTGTAAAGAACCAGCGGATGTATCCATGACTTTGACGGCGAGAGAGTCACCGCCACTGGGGAAATCAGCTTTGTAAACAGAGCCGAATCCGCCGTGACCGAGCTGAGTCGACTCGGAGAAAGAGTTGGTAGCGCGGCGGAGCTGAGAGAAAGAGAAACGTCGACATTGGTACTGTTGAGGAGACTTAGAGTTGGAGATAAGATCTGAAGGCGCCGTACGGTTTCGGTAAAGTCTCCGGTAAATAAGTAAAGTGAAGAGGATGAGTAACACTCCGGTTAAAGTCAAAGAACCGGCGATGATAAGTGGTAGAGTCTGGAAATGGTGGTGGCCGTCACTAACAGTCGGCGTCGGCGGAAAATCTGGCTGGCGAGATGGCATTTTAGTAAATGTAGAAAGTTAAAGAAGTGTCATTAAAAACCGGAGTTTCCATTGAAGAAGAAGAAGGTGAGAGTGAGATGATGATAAGTTTCTAACTGACAAAAAATTAAATAAATTTACTTCAGCTCACGTAGGTAAAATACAGACAGAGAATGGACTTAATTATTTTATTATTTTTTTGTTTTGAGGATAATAAAGAGATGTGCTTGTGTGACAGGAGAGTGATATTGGTAATGGTGACGTGTCGGAGAATAAATGGGGGGATGGTGACTGTGAAATGTGACAGTCATGTGAGCGGATATTATTGCTCACGTCGTTTAGCGGAAGACCGGTGAGAGATAGATAGTAGCCCTGTTCTAAAAATCGGCCGCCTAGGCGGCTGCCTAGCCGCCTAGGCGTTGATCGGAGGAGCACCGCGGCGATTTTGTCCAAATCGGTGAGAAAAATCGGAGATCCGATTTTTTGTCCGCCTAGACCGCCTAGGCGGCCGCCTAGCCCGCCTAGATGGCGCCTAACCCAATTTTTTTTTTTTTTTTTTTTTTTTTTTACTTTTTTTTTCATCTAAAATTCAAAATGTCCTACTTATGTTCGTAATTTGTATAAAAATCATAAATTTGAAATTAAAATCTTGTTTTCATGTGTTTAATACAATTTTAAAAACAATATTATATAAATTTCTTAATTATAATGGATTAATATGTTTTTAAAATATTAAATAGCGCTAAAACTAATCCCCGATTAATCCCCGTGTAATCCCCGATTTTCTTGCTAGGCGCTAGGCGCACCCTCACCGCCCGACTAGCGCCTAGCGATTTTTTGAACACGGGATAGTAGTAGACTAGTCACCGAGTCGTGAGATTTTAATGAGGGAGCGTGATTAACACGCCGCGCGTTGAGGTGAGATTCACGAGGGTTTTGTTTTTCAGTTTTTTGAAACCTTCTCCTTCTGAAGAGGTCCACGGTGGGACCCACGAAATTTAACTGGGGAAGTGACGGTGAAGTCAACATCACTCGCCTTTTAACAAGCGCGTGGATACACGTGAGTTGTGTGGTTCGAGCTTAACCAATTGGGACATGTTCGATCGACTATGCATAACTAATCGGCATTTTCTATTAGATGTTCAATTTGTTATAAAATTTATCAATTGTATTGTTTATTAATTTGTAAAATGGTTCATTGATTCTCTGCAAAACTTGTTCGACTATATATATATATATATTGATCTAATTATATCGTGTAGATAATTGATAATTTAATCATTTATTGGGGTTTTAATTGTTATTTGATCTATTCAATGTTTATTCATTTAGTAGCAAGAAGTATACATCTATTTTGTAAAATCATATGTATAATTTTGTAAGAAAGAGCAAATTTTTGTTAAAACACAAAAAGATTTGTTTCTAATGTAATCAACGTGTTAGTAACGTCAGCGAAAAGGAGGCCTTTTTCAGGTCGCTTTTTCGGGTGATGGGATTTTGACCTTTTCAATTTTCCCCTTTATCGCTTTGGTCTGACTCTCTCTTATTGTGGTTTTTGTTTTGGTTTTACTTTTACCCAATTTTAAGATTGGACCTTAATACACGCACGACGGCACAAGTAACGTTCACTGGTGCAAAACTAAACAGTGTATCACGTCATTAACGTTCAAAATCATTTCACTCGCTGGCACCATCTCTTAATTTATTTGAGTGGAAAATAAAAAAGGGTCAAAGCTAATGTTAGCATTAGAGAAACTATCCAAGTGAGAAACATTCGTGAATCCACTTGATGTTAGTGGGTGATTTGTTAGTTTTAATAGAACAACAAGGTTTGTTTTACTTTTTATTTTTGGCTAATAAAGAAGGGGTAAAGTTGCACTTAGTGGTTTGACTTTGGTAACATCGTTGGAATCTTGATAAGGAAATCTATTGAAAATATAAAAACAAAGAAGTAAAGCGTCAAACACAAAGCCTTTTGCAGGTTAAAAGCAGATTCAGATGTACTTTTAATGTTTTTTTTTTTCAAACAAAAAAAATGGAGATTGGAGAAGAAGAAAAAGAAGCGATGACTACTAAAAGTGCTCATGTGACTTCCACTAATTAACCTCCTTTAGAAAACTACAAAGAAAAAAATAGTTATCGGGTCTGATTGGTAATCAAAAGCTGTACAAGATTTTTAGCTGTTAGTTGGAGCTGTAAGTTTTATCGGAATAGTGCAAAGTTGTATGAAAGAGCTGTACGAGAAAAATGTAAAAAAAGCTGAGAGTAAAACTGTTTATGAAGGTTTTGATAAAGTTTTTGTAATTGGTAACTGTCAAAGTTGTATATTTTATTTGTACAGGTTTGTAAACCTGTTACCAATCAAACCCATCATTGTTTACTAGTCGGAACGTTTATAGCCAACACTTGACGGGACCCGTCACCGTGGTCCCTAACTTTCCACCACTGTTACACTTACATGAATAAAAGTTTTTATGTTTTATACTAGTTTTTTATACCTAGGAGATTTTATTAGTTTTTCCACGACCATCCAAGATGTAGTACTAACAGTTGATAATAAAAAGATAAAATTTGAGTTTCCTCACTCGTTAATTAGCCAATAATAAAAGAGCAAACCAGATCGAGCAACTTAACCTAACATCAGAACAAGTACAGCTAACAGTAGATAAAGAGAGTAACGTACACCTAAACACATGGTTAAGCTGCCTAATAGTAATTAATGGAATTAATGTGAGGTTTAATAGATGAACAGTAATGGGTACATACAAATTTGGCAGGCTGGTGTCTTGATCTTCCATGTGGCATTATAGTTTTAGTATCATATATTTTTTTGCATGTTTTGAGTCCAATAAATGACATTAATACAAATCACTATTTTACATGTTATGTTCTCTTTGTTGAAGTTTTTAAAGTTAATAATTAGTCTGTGCCAAAAAAAACCTATGTTTGCAAGAAATTTAGGCAAGTATGTAAGTTTCAAACTTTCCATAATTGGGCATGAGAAAAACAGTTTTTTAGAACTTGTTAGAGCACCTTTAATGGAGGTTTCTAAACATAATCCTTAATAAATAATAAAATATATATATTATTTAAATATTAGATGAGTACTTTAAATTTGAAGAAACTTAGTCCAATTGTTTTTTAGTCAAATTTAAGGTACCCATAATTAAAAAAATATTATTTATCTATACTTACATTTTAATTTTATTTAAGAAATCTATGTTTAGAATAAGTTGTAGGTGTTATAAGCAACAATAAACATATACACCATGCAAGTGCAACTAATACCGATTTGACAGTTTTTGAGAGCTTGTTTCTCCATTTTAGATAATATCTTTAAATTTGTTAATAAATAATTAAAAAAACTTAAATTTATGGATATAAAATGGGAAAAATGTCGTTTTATCTCCCAACTTTCAAAAAGTGGCCAATCAATACGTCAACTTCATATGTGGCCATTTAAAACATGAAATAAACGTTGACTAACGTTTGAGACATGGAACTTCGTTGACCAGGCCAAAATAGACATGCCGTTATCAGTCGTTAACGGAACTTCTAACGCCCGTTATCACCCGTAACGACTCTGTTAATCAACTTTCAAATTGTGGCCATATTAGACATCAACTTCATATGTGGCCATTCAAAACATGAACTAATCGTTGACTAACATTTGAAACATTAGAATTCGTTGACCAGGCCAAAGTAGACATGTCGTCATCATTCGTTAACTGAACCTATAACATCCGTTATCACCCGTTAACGACACTGTTAGTATGTCCAAAAAGATTTTTCCCAAATGAAAACACCAAATCCCCAAATCTATTTCTACAACAGCTCAAACAAGATGAATAGTCCTATTATCTCTATCTGCATTTCAGAAAAGCTACATTTAGTCTAGGCCTGTGCATAATACCCGAACTCGAAGAACCGAACCGAACCCGATCCGAAAAATCCGACCCGAACCCGAACCCGAAGTAATAAAATACCCGAACGGATTCTAAACTTGACA